ATATTAATTTTGTGGATTTAAATAAAATGTGCGTTCGACTCCATGAGTGTGAAAAACGCAAATTGATAATCGGTTCTAACAAGTTGCCAATAATATTTCACTTTTGTTTTGAAATTCAAAATATCCAAAAATGTATGCTAATAGTTTCGTTTACGAATTAATTTTCATAAAATTTGCCAAATATTTTTGATTTTCAGATCAAATAAATATTAGTATCAAAGCTAATATATGTAAGATAAAAATCTTGTACACAGCAGAACTGTTGAAAGAATATTGTCATTCAATCCATTGAAGAGAAATAGAAATGGAAATGGACATATATACACTCACTCGTGGTCATACAAAATTGATTGTGAACGCCTACATGTGAGATTAGTTCAGTGATCTTACAGCAGCAAGTTTCATTGAATATATTTGAAGTAAAAAGTTACTTATTTCTATTTTGTTTATTTAGATATAGATATATTTATCGAGCTTTAGGCTATAAACTAGTAGAAAACATTTTAAGCAGCAGAGTTAACAGATAGGGGCGGTTTTTGCGAACCCCTTAAAAATAGTTTTTCATTCGTTTTTTACATAAAATTAAAAGAAAAAGAAAATTATTGATACTCTTCTTATCAATAAATCATTTTTGCTCGGTTACCATGGACTCTCAAGCCGTTAAGGCATCTATTCCGGTAATATATGTATAGAACTATTTTAAAGCAAACACTTATTAAACACTAGAAAATCAAAATTCCAGTGCTGGTAAAACTGTAGAAACTAACACTACAAAAATAGAAGCATACCGTTAGGCGAGCTGGAATTTCCATTTACTTAGCACTTTAACTATTAACTAACATACAACCCAACTTTGTGAGGTACTGCCTTTATTTCCTTAAGCCTAGTACTAGCGTCCATACTAGCATCAAACTTCATATGGAAAAGAAATGACTGATATTGTACAGTCTTTTTTTATATGGAGTTTTATGCTCATATTTTATACAAAGTGGATATTAGTACTAATTTTTAGTTGGGATGGGTCTCTGTTATGCAGGCAGTCCCATGACGAATGTTTCGGCTTCTTTTGTTCATAATCGAAATTTCTATTTTTCCTCATTCCCAATTTTTAGTTTATAAAACAACAAAAATTTTATAATTAACGGGACCATGCCTGTCTGCATAACATAGTCAATAGTCTAAAATTTGATATTTTTTAATTCTTCGCTTATCAACATCTCGATGAATACTTTTTTAAACTTTATGAGTTGTATCATACAAGTAATTAATTAAAATAATTGATGCACAATATGTATATTCTTTCAGAGAAGCACAGTACTTAAGAGAAACGTAAATAACCTTTACTCGTTCTTTTAATTATATATTATTTTATTATTGACAAAGTAGGTGCGTTTTTCTGACTCAGATATAGTAAAGTGATAGATAGATAAATTCACGACGTTATTTAAAAAACCTTTTTTTAAAGCATCTTCTGTATGCTCTTCGATTTTTACTGTGTACTACAATTATTATGTTTAAAAGTTTTATGATGAAAACATAAAGCATGATGTCACATTTTGTTGGGTTTGATGTTTATATTGGATCTTTGTAAAGTTCCAATTAACGTGTTCTTATTATAATTATTAAAAAAAAATAGTGCAATCAAATTTAAGGTAATTATAATCAACCTAGATATGATTTTATTTGCTAGAGAATTAAGTATGCACAATAACTATTAAGATATAATTGCTTACAAAAAAAATTAAAAAAGTCATACATGATTACGAGGTATTAAATTTTAATCACACAGACTAGCATCCCTTATAACCAAAATATTTAACAAAGTTTATAATACAAAAGTTTACAAATTTTCTTTAACATATGATATATAGAAAAACTCTATCTACAGTTTGCTGGATTTTTCTAATTTCGGTTTTGGGCCAAATCGTTTAATAAAATTGTTTATTGGTTCAATTACCAATTCAGGATTGTTCATATGTAAATGATGCGAACCGTCACATTCAAAATATTCAAAGTTCGGTTTTTTTGTGAGAATATCAAATACCTCATCATAATACTTTTTCTCTTCGAAATATGAAGAGTGTCGTGCTTTAATAAACAAGTATGGACATTCAATTCTTTTAGCCATTTCCACACATAATTCCTGTGAGCCTGCAGCATAGTTATAGAATTTTAATCTACGGTCACGGCAAAAGAAATATTTGTTTGGATATTTTTCCGATTTTTGTATGTGACGCGCCAGCATATGGTGGCAGATATTCTTATTCACTGAATGGAATGTACCAATGAAAATTCGTTCAATGAGTTCATCATAAGCGTAACTTGGCGGTTCAACATTGCTTCTATTACGTTCATCCTCACGTAGAAATTCATCCATGCGTGTTTCCATGGTACGTATGACACTGCTATATGGACGCTGATGCGGTTTTAGAGCATCAATAGCAATCACCATATCCACTTTATCTGGAAATACTGCAGCGAATAAGAAGCCAATAATTGCAGACATTGAATGACCAATAATTGAAACTTTTTCCCACTTGTATTGTTTCATGATTATGCGTATTATGTACAAATTGTCGACGGTATTGTAATAGCAACCATCTGGTAACCGAGAGGAAAGTCCATGACCAGGCAAATCAATTGATAGAAAAGCTACTTCTGGTGGGAATAGGGGAACTAATAAATCATATGTTCCTGCATTGTCCTGCCAACCATGCAGGCCTAATATAGGCTGAACTGTTTGTGGACCGTACCATTTGCCTGAAATGTGTCCCCAAGGCACTGGTATTGTTACTTCTGCAAACTAAAAATTCAAATATTAAAGGTCAAAGTTTAAGTCAAAGCACGCCAACTAATTACCTCACGTAGTGGCTTCTCGCCTGTTAAGTCACTTGCGTCACGATACCTATTCGTCATGACGAGAGTGTCATTATAGTTTGATGAACTATTGGACTCCATAATTTTGTTGTGCTGCAATTAAGTTACTAATTTAATTTTATTTTATAATTAGGTTTATGAACATTGGTTTTAGAGTTTGCTTATCTATTATTAAAATATGATTTAAGATTAGTTAAAAAAAAACAACTGAGTTAAGTGAAAAAAATCTTATCAATTCTCCTTATTTTGTGAACTGTTTTCCTATGCCGCTAAGACTAAATTCACAAGAATAACTGACGTTAAGATACTTTAGAAAATTTTAATGGATAAATATAAACAAACATTAAAAATTTAAATAATTACTTTAATGAAGTCAAAACACCGACCAACTCACAACAAAGTCAAAACAATACTCGACATCCAAGCAACATAGGTGATATGACAATATTGTGCTGTTCTCTTTGAAAGTACGCGAGAACAAATTTTATGCAGTAGAACACATAACAGAGTCGTATTCAAAGTGCACATTTTCAGCAATATTACCTTTTTGTATAATTACTATACACACTATATATATATATTAGTCATGAATAATTAATAGGTTAGGTTAGGTTGTCAATAACATATATGTTGCTTTTATTAAATATTTTATAATTGCACAAAGTAATAAATGATATATTATATTTTATCACAAATTGCAATGTAAACGAAGTATTCATACTCACTAAATTCATATTAAATAACTTCAATGTTATGCTATGTTTAGACTATTGCATTTAATTCGATAAATATGCAATAATAGGTCTGTTCCACGAGCTACTCATAGTAACACATGAGTAAAACAGAAGTAAAATTTACACAAAAATACTTGAAAATTTGCTGGTGGATCGCGCTTGTGTATACACAGTGTTTACTCAAAGTTACTATGAGTAGCTCGTGGAACAGACCTAATATGTGCCATATTCCCACAAAACATATTCAAAATTCATGTAAAAATATGTTCGACAGGCTCGATAAGTCTACATGTAAACGCAGTATAGTCTAAATTATGCTAAATAATTTATATAAAATTTTAAAACTTTAAACTTTCCATGTGAAATCTTTATACTATGTTCAGACAGCCAAATTTCCTTAATTTCATAAAATTGAAATTAAATTAATTTTGAAATTGTTCATACTGCCCCAAACTAAGGAAATCATATGTTTTTTGTTTACAAAACCATTTTTAAAAATTGCATGCTCCAAACACCATTTAAAAAGTTGATTATTATAACTATAAACAGTAGTTTTATTAACTTTAATGGATTTCAGGTATGTAAATAATTATTTTTCACTCTATTTTAAATTAATAATAATTTCAAAATATTTTCTCGGTTTTATTCAAGTCAACAGTCACTGATATTTATTTTAAAAAAATGTCACATTTTAGTTATCTCAACTTTATCTTTTGAATAAAATTTATTTTACGCATTTCAGCCTTCATTTCAACGAAATTAAGACAATTTTCCTAAATTTCGTTCCAACCTTAAAACTAAATTTTGTGTGGAAAACAAATATAACATAGGATATTAAGATTTTTGCGAATTTAAAGTGTGTTTGAACATAGTATAACTAATTAATAACTTTGAACTGTCAAAGCAGTTGCTACTTTTTTACATGTAATTTTCAAAAATGTATGTAATTGTTTAACTTTTCATATATATAAAAAATAAGAAATTTCTTTGTATTATTAGATCAAATTTTAGCACAAGAAAAGCACTCACTATTTATTAATTTAACACTTCAGCAATTTAAACAGAGTTTAATATGCTAAATTAAAATTGTGAAGACAATTTTAAAGTCACTTAAGTTATTTACTAAGTAAGCAGGGAGAACATACTATAAGTTTTCCTCTACCTTTACGTCGAAAACTGAAACTCGATTGTTTTCATGTTTGCCTCTCCACGACATTTCATTTACATGACAACTAATAGTGATAATAAATACATAAAATTTGAGAAAAACAATTATTTCACTTTCAACTTGAGCACGGCAACCCTGTTTTGCCAATACATTGAGCAACAAAAAAACAGTTGAGAAAAACTCTCAATTATTGCTTTTGACATATAATTTTTTTTTAAATATTTAATGTCACTGATTTATTAATAAGTGGAATCTGATTTAAACATTATTTATTTTTATTGAAATAATAAGTTGCATAAAGCTTTCGCAGTACTTATCGGTGTAAATATTGTATGGTTTCAAGGCCAATGTCAAAGAGCAAATGTAAAAGTGTAAATTAAGAGAGAAGTAATATTGGCCAAGATTGTTGATTTGTTTAATAATATACAAACAACAACTTGTTTAATTATGTACTAAAATAAGAAATTCGCGAAATATATAATCAGGTACAAAGTCCGAATGAATCAAACATACATTTTTTTATGAAATTAGTCAATCTGAATTTGTGATGTAAACTTTCATACGGACGTGTGAATTGCCTGACGACATTACGTGAGTTGCGTTGACGTCCAAGAATTTACGGAAATAAAAAATATTTATTAGTTTTGTGTAAGTTAAAAACGGTAATTATATTTTAATTAAAAAAACGTTATAAGTAAAAAGTGTATAGCTTTTATTGTCATAATTGTTGACATACATTTAATAAGAGAAGAACACAATGTGTTAAAAAGTGGCCAGTATTTGTATTTTATAATAATTTACCTGCTAAAGTGATAATTAAATATCTTAAACATTTTTGTTGATAATTACCAGACAAACACGTGTTTTTATGTCTGCAAAATTATAATTAGCATAAAGTGTCTCTTATCAACTGATAACAAAAATATGCGAGTAATACAGTAAACAAAATACTTAACCCTAGAACAGCTCCAAGCGCATAAATGTTTTATGAAAATCATATTTTTAATTGTGAAATTATACAAACTGATATTCTTTTAATAGTATTTTATTATTTGTTTATAAAGAGGTTTTTTCGAACAGTAGTGAAACACAACAACAAAAATTTTATTTTTTATATTATTTTAATTAATTGAATTTTTGGCTGACCAAAAATTCAGAAAAACCTCTTTATGAAATATAACAAGTTTGCTATTAAAAAATAATAGTCACTTTCGTCTGGAAAATTTGACGTTAAATTACAACTTATATTATTTGTTTATTTAAACGGTGATTAAGCAGATCATTAAGTTCAGAACTGAAATATTTTAGATTTTGTTAATATTGTTGCGTACGTTCCATAAATTGTCGTGGTCGTTCGTGATCCCTGGATCCTGTTAATCTCAATTTTCTCTAATCATAATTATATATAGAACTTATTTTCCAATAAACTATCAAATACTAAGAAAACTATTTATAAGTTTACTTCTATGTATTACTGGTCAATATATGATGATAATAATATATGATAATATAAAAATTATTGTTAATTGGCATTTCTTTTCCTCAAGCAAGACCGCCTATTTTATTCGGTGATTATATTATTTTGATATATATTTATTAAGAATAACTTGCCCTGATTAGTTTATTAATTTTTCCCTTTTATTATTTTGTTGTAATTAAGACTAAAACTGCAATTAGAATATTATTAGTTTCAGTTATATGATTAAAATCATATGATTTATTGAGTCTCTTTTTATTGTTGAAAATTCCATTAAATTACGCTTGAATGATGTCAAGGCAACCATCCGAATTTTTTCAAACCTATATAATACGATTTTATATAATAAAAATTATACCTGGTTACGATGAAATTATAAGTAAAATCATACAGCAATTATCAGAAGTACCAATATCGTTACTGAAGTTGAGCTTTAGCAGCATGGTTTCCTTTGGCTATAATCCAAAGCAATGAAAAATTTCTCAAGTGATAATGATTCAAAAGTTAAGAAATTTCCTGTCTTTGCCGTTAACACATAGATCAAAGGTCTTCTTCCGCAACTATCCAAAATTTTTAAAAATATACTTTTGTCAAATATGTTGTCAATAATCAATTAAAGACACGTTATATATAATCGCTTTAGAACAGGATATGGGATTATTGAGAAATTATTATTGAGAATTATTGCGTTTCAAATCAAACAATATTATTTAGCTGCATTCTCGGAAGTGGCTCATGGTTTTGATAAATCAATTCCTTTCTTAAAGTACGCATAAGCTATTCTTTTCATATAGCTACTAGACAATTTCAATTAAAACAATTTTTATTTCAAGATAAAATGATAAAAAGACTGGTCTTTCGTATGGAAGCGTACTCGGGCCATTTATTTACTTCATTTACAAAGCTACTCTCCTTTTTGCTCAAATCAAGTAAAAACGTATATATGTATATATATCTTGGAGTTATAGCTATATACTGCTAGAAATGTAAAACAACATCATGTCAGCATTGTAATCCAACAGGTTTCTAGATTCATATCAGCTTGATGTGTCAGCTTGTCAATAATTCTGCTAATTTGATCTCTTAATTAACTATTTAAAAGTCGAATACAAATAGACAAATTTTAGTAGGAAAGATACGATTCTAAAACAATAATAGAAAAAATTGATTCTTTCTAATTTTAATTTTTTTCTATCTTATCGTTTTATTTTCTTGGCAGGAAGAATAGTCTTAATTTAATTTGAAAAAATTTATGGTTTATGAAATAATAACAGATATTAATCGAAATATTTTAATAAATAATTTTTTATTAGAAATAACAAAATGCTGCCAAATACAACTGCTCGAAGGCTGTTCCAAAATCTTTGCCGTCAAAGCAAATTATCTAAACGCCAGAACTCTACTGCATCGCACAAACCAAGCAATATAGTAACAAAACATGTAGGTTAAAAAGTTTATTGCTCTATCTAAAAAACAACTAACATTATGTTTTCTTTACAGTTCGATGAAATTACTGTACCAGTACCTTGGGGTCATATAGCTGGAAAATGGTATGGCCCAAAACATGTACGTCCCATACTTGGTCTACATGGTTGGCAAGATAATGCAGGAACATTCGATACTTTAGCACCTCTATTACCACAACATACAGCCTTTTTAAGTCTTGACATGCCTGGCCATGGGTTATCTTCCTGGTTACCCGATGGCCAGGCTTATCACTCAATCGATTATGTTGTACTGTTAAGGCGTCTAATGGAAGAGTTTAAATGGGATAAATTATCAATGATAACTCATTCTATGAGCTCTATAAATGGTTTCGTTTTTAGTGCTTTATTTCCCGATAAAGTTGATATGTTCGTTGGATTAGATGTCTTAAAGCCAATTACAAGAAATCCCGACAAAATTGTTGATTCAATTTCAACACGTTTAGAAGATTTTATTAAAATGGAAAAACGTATGCGTAGTAAATCAGAACCTCCTTGTTACGAATGGGAACAACTTGTCGAACGTCTACATATCGGCACTGAGAAATCTGTTTCAGTAGAGTCATGTCAGTACTTACTTCAAAGGAATTCAAAACCATCACAACATGAGCCTCATAAGTATTATTTTGCGCGCGATAGTCGTTTGAAAAGTTCGATGTTTTATCCATTCTCGCGGGAAGTCCCATTCGAGATGGCGAAGCGTATAAAATGTCCACATTTATTTATTAAAGCATTAGGAGGTCCATATTACGAGCCAAAGGAGAACTATGACGATACACTTGAAATATTAAAGCAGAATCCTCTATTCGAATATCATGAAGTGGAGGGCACACATCATGTGCATTTAAATAATCCCGAAAGAGTAGCGCCTATTATAAATGATTTTATTAGTAGATGGAGGACGTAAAATTAGTGAAATTTCTTTTAATTTTAATTTGTTATTAGACTTAGGCTAATGTTTTGTTAACAAAGATCTTGCAAGGACGTAATTTAAAAAAAATCTTAAATAAGTAATAAATACAAATCTTTAATATAAATATTTATCTTTTAAATTGTTTTCTAAATTGTAACCAGCCAGACTAATGTTACAAAAAGTACTAATTATGACATATTTAATGTAACAACATTTGTTTTATAAAATGAATTTAACTTTTAAATATTAATTTAAAAAAAAGTTGTGTTAATTTTCTAAAATGCAATGCGAACACTATTATAACTTCAATCAAAAAACCATTAGCATTAATTTTTTGTAATATCTTTTTCATTATTGCATTCTTAATTTTCAACAAATAACGAGTCAATCTTTATTTTAAAATGAATAACTATTGATATCACATATCCATCATTAACTCCAATCTTTGATTATTTTCTTCGCATCTAATTAGGCATTCTTCATAGGTCCACTTAGGATAAACTCGTTTGTAAAGATACATAAAGACTGTGTCCTGCGAACGTAGCTGTCCATCGAAATAGCATTTCATGTGACCATGTGTGCCTAAAGATTCCTTAATATGTCCTAAACGACCACATTTTGTACGTAGTTTTACTGGTTTAAAGTATTCTACATCTTCCTTATTGAAGAACATATAACGTATTGTCGCGGATTTACGATTAATGCGCATAGGATGTCCACTTAGTACAACTCGCTTAAGTATAATACGGTCAGGATTACAATTAATCACACAACCCCTCGCAACCAGTGCCAAGGTGGTATCAGGATTTTCTTTAAATGCGAGCACCGGTACTGGTGGAAACTGTATAGGAGCAAAGAATGTAGCACAAACTGTTTCGTGTGGTCGGAAATAACGTTCAAACTAAAAAAAAAACAGAAGAAATAGTTATAGTTGTTTTTTTCATACAATGATTATGAACAAACCTTGTGTTTATCTCCGTTAGTGTGTTGGCTGTAAATCGGATTAACCACAAAGCGACGATAACCACATTGTATAATAATTCTTTCCTTTGATTTTATCGGCACTTCTGAGTCGGGTAAACGTTTGAGCACAACATTCATGATTGACATTTGATGTTCATGTGGTAACATGCCATAGACAATGACATTATTGGTGAGTTGTGCAGATTTGTAAGCGAACCATTTTGTTGCTGGCACATTAATGATATGTATTGTTATATACCAGCCAGGCTATTTGTATAAATAATAAAAATATTTCTTATTTATTTAATAATAATTGAATTGAGAACCTACCAAAACGCCATCAATTTCTTTGGCTTCTGTGATAATACGTCTCTTAGTGCGATCGAAGTTCTTGAATTGATAAATGCGTGCATAATCACTGGGTAGATTTTCTTTTGTATCCCAAGGTGATGTTCTGTGGGTAAATATTACAATAATACATATATATATAATAATAATAATAAAAACTAATATAAATAAGTATATATTAACAATAATACTATATCAATTTGCTTTTATACAAGATAGAGTCCAAAGTAAACAGATGTTTCTAGTCAGTGGTATCTGTAGTGAAACCAAAAGAAGGTAGTATTACAAATATACTTATCAACTGTCTATCACATTTAACATTTGCATCCAACACTGATAGACTCTCAAAATCTTGAGTCATTTGGACAAAAAGAACTGAAATGAATGCGTGAAATTTTGACTGACAACAGTATAAGATCCCTCATCACAAATACTTATATCCAAAAAATACCATTTACCTCGTCGTGGAGTCGAAACTATTAAAATAAAATTTTTAACATACCTGAAAGATTCCAGTCCTCTGAACTTTTGAAAACGATCTCTAGCTGCAACATCCAATGGTGTATCAATTTCATCCGGCCACAATTCATCTACACGTGCTTCTTTAATTTTCTTCATAGTATCTCTTTCCTCATGGAAATCCATTTGTAAATCATATTTTTCGTCATTTATAGCTACATCAGATACAGAAGCAGTTTCAACATATTCTTCAGTGTCTGAATCAGGTTTTTCAACTTCATCATCAAATGATTTATCATCGCATGACATAAACTCATCATCTTCATCTTCATCTTCATCAGCAATACTTTGATCATCTTCAACAGTTTCAACATCAGGTATCCACGCAGCTTGATATGCGCTATAACCTTTGGGCACACGTTTTATAAGTTTTGTTTTCTTTGCTTCTTTCTGTGCTTCTTGTATTTCTTCTTCCGTTGGCCATGTTTGTTCTGCATCCATTGGATCCGGTATATTTTCACTTTGTAGAGAAGTTTGCTTTGTAGGATCAGCTTTACATAAGTTGCGCACTTCATCCGTAGACATTTCAGCATTTCTACTTTTATCCAATTTGTAGGGATCTTGTGGTGCATCTATTTGTGACATTTGAAAATCACCTAAACCAGGTATATGCACTAAGCCGTTCACATCTAAAGGCGTGCCGCGTAGGAAACCAGTTACTTTTAGTGTGCCAAACTCATGAGTTGGATTACTATTCGGTATAAACTCTACCTTATCGCCGAAAAGGTGTGGTCTATTATTTTTATTGTAGAGCACATTTTTCTTTTGAGCACCAACACGACGCATGACATTAAGACCTATGTTTGGAAAATGTTTTAATTATATTAATTAATAGAAATAAAATAAAATATTTCAAAAAAATAATACCTTCAGCATTTGTATCTAATTGCATTATTTTTTCCGCTGGCAATAGTTTGGATAAAAATTTATATGCAGCAGCTTTAGAGTTTGCACGCCTTTTTGGATTAACCGATTCTAAATCCATTAAAGCTACAATAGGTGTTGGTATACCTTGTGCTGAAATCATGTTATAAATACGATGTCCCCATTTATCGAAGACATCATCTTCACCCATTGCAGCAGATGTTAATAGTAACGTTGTATCACATACTTTAAGATAATCCAATACAGCAACTTCATTACCTCGCCCAACCGGCGGTACTATGAATGCAAAACGTTGTTTGAAACGTGGTAAATTTATATAAGTAACACCTGCAAGTGAACGATCCACAACTGCTTCTTCATCACAATTCTCCAGTATGGCCAGCGCAGATCTTGGATCTATTTGTTTGTGCATCGGCAGTATGCAAACAAGAAATGGTGCTGTATTTTGACCACCCAATTGACGTTTTATTGCAAAAGATTCTTCTCGTTTATTCTTACGTAGCTGTAAATAAATTTGGTTTGTTTAATTTAAGTTATGGGCTTCTGAGCCAGTATTTACGTACTTGATTCAATTGATTGCGACGCTGTTCTTTTCGCTGTTGTTGTTTGTGTTTATGGGATACTACTTTTAAGGAAACTTTTCCTATGGCATTAAGAGTAGAGTAATTGTTAAATATTTATAATAACAGAATTACGCATATTCACATATAGAATTACCTTTCTGTGCATTATCAATAGCGCCTTTAGAACGATGCCTTCCTGTTTTATGCGCCTTATTAGTTTGCTTTAAGGGCCCCGGTCGATGAAAAACTTTATCAGCCATGATTATTTAATTTATTTTGCCAATATATTAAAATAAAATTTTAAAATTGGCTTTATTTACTAATTTTTAAAACATGTGCTAGGCTTTGTAGTCAACACACGTTGTTGTTAGCACACAAAAGAACAAGACAAACTGGGTTGCCTATGAACTAAAAAAGTAGTGGCCTAAACAGCATAATATAATAACATGCGACCAAAGATTTGTAAAACTTAAAAAAAAAAATAGTATGGAATTATTATTATTTAATTAAATTAAATTAATATATTTTATACCAAGCGTTTGTTGTTTCTTCTAAACTTTATATATGTGAGCTCTGTGTATATATTACTCTATTGCTACTACTATTGCATATAACATCTTCCTTCGAGCAAGCAGCAACACTGATTTCCTTTGTTTTGGGAATTTTTATAAAATCATATCAGCAATTATATACACTGTACAAAATTAATAGCAAAAAATTATTTAAAAATATCCCTTCGAACAAAAGAATAGAATAATACGTTTATGACATTATAAACTATATACCGTATGTATTGCACATATAAATATATATATATAATTTTACAGGTATTTAAAATTTTTGGTATAATATTCTTAAACTGTTTATATCCATTAGATTTGTTGATTTGTTTTTTACTCAATGTGTAGTTAATTCATTATATTGTTAAAAAAAAAATTTAATATTATTCGTATTAATATAAGAAAATAATCTATAAAATATTTCGGAATAATAAAAATTCTATTTACAAAATTCTATCAAAATTATTTGTGTGAACAGAAGAGAATTTTTCATATAATACTTCTTAATATATATATATATATATGTATGTATAAAGTTTTAGCTATAAGCATAAACTTTTATAATAACTGCACCATTTATTTGACACATTAAAGTTTATTAATTATTAATAGAAGGCTCACTTTCTTATATCTCATCTAATAAAATTAAATAATTGAATTTTATAATCATGTTTCTTCAGTAATTGTTTTAAAAATTTCTTGGTGAAATATTTTTTCTTAGACTATATTTGGATTTTCTTTAAAGTAACTTAGTAGCTGGCGAGATAGTAGCTAACGACTATACCTTGGAATCTGTAAAGGATTTTATATATCTAGGCTCCGCTTTAACAAGCAAGAACCAAATCAGCCTAGAGATTAGATGAAGAATGAATATTGTCAATAGGTGCTAACATACTATGGGCTTAGTAGGAAATTGGAATTGGAAAGTTACCCCAATCTCACGACAGACAAACCTTACACTCTATAAGTAGCTCATATGTATGGCACAGAAGCATGGTTGCTATCAGAGAATGATGAAGTAGTGTTGGGAGTTTACGAAAGAAAAGTTTGGAATTGGAAAGTTACCCCAATCTCACGACAGACAAACCTTACACTCTATAAGTAGCTCATCTGTATGGCACAGAAGCATGGATGTTATCAGAGAATGATGAAGTAGCGTTGGGAGTTTTCGAAAGAAAAGTTTTAGTTCTTTGTAAGATCTTTGCTTATCTACGAGTTTGCGACAATTACCGCTGAAGCATGGACGTTGTCACGAATGTATAAAGCAGCGCCAGAAGTTTTAGAGAAAAAAAAAATTCGTGAGATCTTTGAATGAACCATGAGCTGTACGAGCTTTATCACGGCATTGTTATAATGCAGCGAATTCACATCCAGCGGCTTCGCTGTTGAGCTATGTCGAGAAAATTGATAAAGATCCTGCAGTAAAAAAAGGTATTTGATGTGTCACTTGGAGGATGAAATCGTAGAGATAAATCGTGTCTAAGATGGAGTTATCAAGTTGAAGAAGAGTTAACTGCATTTGATGTATGAGAGTGGGGAAAGCGCGCCTGGAGAGGACTGCTAAGTCAAGCCGAAATACGGTAATGGATTGTTATGGCCAGTTAAGTAAGTAAGTAATATTTTGTTATTTAGATTTTATCAGAAAGTTTTGGTCCGTTATTGTGCACACTTACTTATCTGTCAAAACTTTTAGATTTTTATATCGTTTTTATATTGATTGATATTGATACATTAATTATATTGAGTATATTGTTTAATATTTTGTATCAATATTTCAATTGTTTTATGGGGTCCTCATAATTCTTGGAATCATCATTTACTATATCAAACAAATAATAATATAATCAGTAATTTAATATAAGCATCTTAGATAAGTTAATGTGTACCTGAAAAATTACAATCCATACTGCATCTTTATAAAACCATTAAATGCAGACTCTCTCGTAATTGTATCTAGCTAAGTAGCTAAGTACCTCTGTATATGTTAAATATATTATGAT